TTCTTTCTTTCTCCTTTAGATACAGCCAGAATGCTTCCCGGAAGTCAGTCTGGTATTGTGTAAGTATCACATAGGTAATGTAATAAAAGGCTTCATCCTGCAAAGTTCCTTTCTGAAATTCTTACTCAGGGATCTGACTAAGAATGTATACAATTTGCTCCTTGTTAAGATCAATGGTATAAAGCTTTAGCTAGTCAATCCAGTGCTGCAGGTTCATTCAAGTAGATAACACATGTTGTCTTCTAAAATTCAGTGCCACCTACATGTGCAGTTTATCCTTTCATGAAGATAATTTTTTCATATCCTCCCATGACAGGCACAGTAGTCATTGTTACCCAGTGAACTGCATTAGACAATCACATCTGAAGTTAACAAACAAAAATATGAAGGATTTTTCCTATACACATAGCCCCATCACCTAAATGGCAATTAAATCTTGAAGTCTCTAAGTAACTTGTTCATTTTGTCCAAACTGGAAACTATGGTGAAAAATATTAGAATCTTAAAAATATGAAAATTAGTTTAATAGTCAGAAGGAACTAGTAAGCATAGATCTTTATTATACCAGCCACCACCAGTAACTTTATACAGGCCACTTTGGTTTGTTCAAGAAATCATGATCAAATAAACCATCTTGTGTGATGCATAAACTCAGCTACTATCAGATTCACTCAAGCACAAGAAAGGCAAGGTACAAATATCTTTAAATCTTTGTGCTGGGATAGTTTAGGAAATAGGCTGAAAAAGGGAAATGAAGTGCTCACCTCTGAGACTATAACATCACCTTCTCCTGAGGCAGGGAGAGAAAATGTTAAAACTAGAGGGAAATAGGAATAATAGGAGTCTTGCAGGAAATGGGTGGGATCACAAAACATATTAGGCCATGACTGGTCTAAAGTATGGCTCACTGACTACGTCACAATGGTCGGGTTTATACATAAAGCAAATCCATGATGATTGCTTACAAAGTACAATACCATAGATATTCTCAGCAAGCCAAGATTGCAGCAAAATGATAACGTCCGTATGGTGACATCTTGACATAAACTCCCTCCTTAAGTACTTGCATCTCAATGTTTGATGCAAGTACGTAAATTGCAGCTTTTGTTTCATCATTGATTCCCTATGTGGGCTTATATATAGATTGCATTCACACTATACTGCATACCAAGACACTCTTTCTTCCAGTAAATGTTGTGAGCTGGCAGCTCGATCGATCATTCAGTCTCCATATTTACAGCCCTCTCAGCTGGCACAAAGGAGGCTGGTACTTCCCTTTTCACTGCCTAGCATTCTCCTCTCTGCCCCAAATGAGAGTAAAAAAGATTGGTGGTGGTGCACTCAGCACAATAAAGACCTCTACCCCATCCTGCTTCTCTTTCACACACCTGTGTGTGCACGTGTATGTATGTATGTATGTATGTATGAAAGCTAAAATGAGCAAATAGATGCAATCTTTATGTGGCCTTTTTGGAACTGTATTGCTTGTAGAGAAAAAAAAGTTTAACCCTCTAACCCTCTCTTTGGGTGATGTAGCTGATTCGGGAGGGGGGATCCAAAACAACACTAAGTCTGGGGCCAAATGCAACCTCAGCATTGGTTGGTTCATTTGACCAGTCCTCTTATTAGGGTGGCAAACTATATTTCCCACGGCCAGTTAAAGGAGTTTAGTGAACAGAGCCATTCTGTGAACTCAGCCCAGATTCTGCACCTCTCCCCAAATGCTCTGAGGATCTCAGGGTAACCTCAGACTTCAACAGAAGGAATAGAAATGTACTACTTACTCTCCTCTCTAGAGACTGTCATGGGGTTCACAAATTCCTCTAAGCCAAGGTTTGTTTTAAACTTAGTTTACTGTGCAAGCCGTAGCAACCTATTTCACCCATCACACTGAGTCTGAACTTGCCCAGTCACTAGGATAATACTAGAATGCCTCCGGTGGTTTTGTTATTATACTAATAACAACTCATGTTCAGTTTGGATGATACTAGAAACAAAGACTTATTAGAGACTTCTTGATTTAACTGTGACTTGTATAAGCAAAAGAACTCTTCCTATTTCGGTCTAATCTCTCATACGCAATGATGTGATCATCTGAATCAGTTCACTATTTCCTAACCTTGACTTAAACAACATAAAGAAAATTTTAAAAACACCAAAAGATTTTCTGCAAAATACTGATAATGGCTCAGCCTAGCAGTGTTCCGCCTTGATTTTCCTCTTTGTTAAACATGTTTCAGCACCTACATGGAATTTCAGATGTTCCAAAGGTATAATTCTGAAATAATTACAGAGATTCAGCTTGTTCACAGTCTTACATGCGAAAGCTTCTTGTTCTTTGAAATGGCGGGAAAGGCCTTTTAAATGCCCACATCAACAGTGGTTTCTGTTTATTTTTTTCTGGAAAAAGAACTGCTTCACTTTCAGGAGTAGGAAAGCGTTCCTTATATATATCAGGATAAGCTTTCTGAAACTGAAAAGGAATACTCTATGTTAAGGAATTTTAGTTTGTTCACTAAAAGCAGGCATATATACAATTCTGACTTTTCGCTATAAGAAAAAAATATTTGACATATATTTCATAAAAGATTATGGCACAGCATATAGTACTTAAGTTATGCTTTGCTTTTGTTATCTCCACAGCACGAATATACAACATTAATCATAGAGACCTATTTTTGTTCTGAAACATAGAAATACTGCAATTATTTCATTACTATAAATTCAACCAAAACGATTAAGCCATGATGAGACAATATAATTTAAAATAACCATTTTTTTAAACACTAAAACATGACAATTTTACTAATCAAGTCCATATTTAGGGGCTCCTACCTTACATTTAAGAATATCTTTGGTTCTTTGATGGGAATTTTACAAACTTTTGTAAGCTACAAGCATCTGTCATATGACTGTAATATTTACAAATCCAGTAAACATTCTAGAAGAAAAAAATGATTTATATTTAAGTAGTAAGGAAGACCCTAAGAGCCACCAGATTCAAAAGGAGACTCTCTTATAGATACATCTGCATTGCTATCGATATTGTTGAAAACTCAAAGGAATAATGGGGTAATTTCTGATTCCATTCAAGAAGGTTCAGACATGGCAAGCCTCAACAGATGTCAAGGTCCTATGTTGTATTATGCATTAAATGGGAAAAATGTTTTTAATGTACTTAAGGCTTTGCAGTTAAGTTGAGTTTGAGTTGAATTCCTGAAGGTTACCTCGCCTTTGAATCAGGTTGTCTACATGTGCACTGGGTATTTGTAGAGAGGGATTGTAAGATTCTAGAGAGGCAAGATTCCAGATCTCTCTTGATTAGGCCCAGAGTTAAGTTTATCAAATCTACCTCCGTTGCTTTGAAAGTATTTGTGTTTTATACACATATGGTTTCTGGGTAGCACCTGACACAATGGAAATATTTACATCTGGCATAAATCCCAGCTATAGACTATAGCGTTTGTAGTCTCAGTGCTACAAATACTTGCAGAGGTATGTGAAAATAACTGATAAATTGCAGGATCAGAATTAAAGATTTATTCAACATATATTTGCCCAGGGAGCGTTCTTACCCAGTTATCTGGGAACGGTTTGATCCTGTTGTCCCTGAGGAAGTGGACAGGGCCCTCAAGGCTGTCAGTGCAACTACCTGTGGTTTAGATCCTTGTCCCTCCTGGCTAGTTAAAGCTACCAAGGAGGTGACCT